TTCCTGTCTGATGGGTGCTGGGGTGGAAAACTGTGAGGACCTGGCTTTGCCTCTGCTTTGGACTCACTGTCCACAAGCCTCAGCCACAGAATGCCCTTCCACTGCTTCCTGGGCCAGGCTTTCTCTGGCCTCTCAGGCATTGACTGTGCAGTCTGCTATGGTCAGATCTGTCTTCATGCCCTCCTTCTTCATTCTTCCAACTAAACTCTCCATGTGCATTTGGTTTCAGCTGTGTATCACCTCTCCTAGGAAGCAACTCTCTGGAAGAGTAGGGTTTCAGGCCCACCCAGGACATCCTCATAAGCACATTGCTCCCTGGGCACGGATGCTCCTGGTCTCACTTTCCTGGCTGCTCCCCAGCGTACACCACCAGCCTGTGAAGCAGTACACCCATGTCCCATGTTCTTTGGAAGACTCTGGGCCTTAGACTTCCACACAAATCCAGGAGAATGCATTGTAGCATCCAGGAATGCCAATGTCCTTCTTCTTTTTCACCTCTAATCTGTACTGGATTTTAATTTTTGTCAGTTGGGACTTGAGCAGAGTTCTGGGTGACCAGCAGAACCAGCCTAGCCCTGAGCCTTTCCTGAGAAGCCCATGATGCAGCTGGACCTTTACTCACCGCTGCTTCTGACCATGGGTTCTCACTGAGTTGAAGCAGGCTCATCTCACATTCATCTGCAAGTGGCTGGAGGGAAACCAGGCTTGGCAGACACCCAGAGGTGCCCTTGGTTCTGAAGACCACTGATGCCTTTGAGGTATCCTGACTTTCCAAAGGGCAAGCTGAAACCGCAGCTGTCCTGTCCTCATGAAGAGCAGAGACAGTGGAGAGGAGCTCCTGGGCCTGGGATTCATGAGAAACCTCATTGAACCTCATGAGAACTCCTGGGCATTGACATTATCTCTATGAAAATGAAAAGAATGGAATTTCAGAGGTGTCAGATCCCTTGCCCATGACCACAAGTCACTTATTCCTTAACTTATTCCAGAAATAATTTAAGTTAGCACACAAAGCTACACTCAGAATGGCATAAAATGAAATCTAGGGAATGAGGAAAACAGGAAAGAGAAAAATGAAAACAGGTTTGTGATGAACTTTAAGAATAAAATGCATGGCCTGGAGTTGTGTGCAGTTAATTAAAAGGGTCATCAGCTTGGTCCCGAGTTGTCTGATAACCACCGGGAAAAGGATAAAAGGAACAGTCCATGCTCTAAAGTTCCTGCACTGTTTTCTTAGGTGAGAATGCCGGGTTTTCTGTGAGAACATAGTAATACCTGGTGTGCAAATAATATCAGATAGCATCGTTTTCTCCATCTGATGAAGAGAAGGAAGTAGGGCAAGACAAAGCTATGGAAAAAAGACAAATCTAACAAAAACAGCTAACACAAATAGAGCTAAGAGCTTTCTTCCCATCCATGGTCCACTCTTGCAGCTGATACCCCAATGTTAAACTCAGGTCCTCACAGGAAGATTATGTGATACTCACATCACTACTTAAGGAGATGAAGGAGAGAGGTATCCAGAAAGTTAAAATGCATCTTCCCCTCATATTTTTCTTCTAAGAAAAACAAATCAGGACACCTGGATTTTCCCCCTCAACCTCAGCCCTGCATAGCACACAATGGATGAGTGTATTCATTTTTAAGTTTAGATCTATATCTCCATCTTACAGGGTTAGTCATCCCTTCTTCACCTTCCTATCCAGTTCTCACTACTCTACCAAATAAAATAAGTTAGAAAGGGCACACTGTGGATATTTTAATTCCAAAGTAGTATCTGGTTTTGTTTTGCTTTGTTTTAGGAAAAAAGTACCAAATTCTGCACAAGATATGAAGAAATTCTTTGAAAAGGTCCAGAAATAACCATGGCAAGTAAAAGGAAAATATTTCTTCCACTACCAGCCCCAGATGACACAGGTCCTTCTGAAACCTACACAAAGCAGGTTTTTATTTCAGGGTAGTGAAATAACATCAGTCATACAACTAGCCTGACTGAGTTTTGGCTTGGGCTGGGTCTAGATGAGACTCTTCTACGAGTGCTTCCTACTGTCCTTGTCATAGGTCCACATGGCAACTTGGGGCCCTTTGATCATTCCCTTGAACTCCTGTGATTTCTCTTTATTGTAAGTCGAAAACAAGTCCTGCCATGTGATCCTGTGTTCACACCTTTCAGTGCCATGAGACAGAACCAGGTAGGTGTACATGTGCAAATGCTCTGGCGCTTCATTGGTGGGAATCTATCACATCTGCTCTTCCAATGACAGATCAGAAAGGTAACCAGCACTCAGGGCACACGCCTCATGTAGTCCCCACAGAGAGGTGGGAACAATGGCGGGTGGCACCCGGAAATCCTCTTTCCATCCCACAGCCTCACCATCCTGTCCTCAGAGCAGCAGCCCTTCTCCCACTGGCTCTGCCAGACCAAAGCCCAGAGCTCAGTGGCTGCCAGGGTCGCATGGCTAGAAAGTGGCAGAGTGGGGATGAGTTCAACTTGGTTCCCCAGCCATGGCTCATTCTCCTCTAGAGCTTCACGGTCTCTCTGGAAACCCTGAGACCTGGTCCTACCCATGTTGGTTTGCTTCTCCTGCCACACGCATGCTCTGAGGTGAGGAGAAACAGACCACCCCCTCCCAGTGCCCGAGGGTGCATCCATCTGGGTGGGTGGGTGCAAGTTGAGGATTCTACCAGCAGGTGCATGGGAAACAGAGCTGTTCAGCACTGCCCTCCTGAGTGCTTCTGTCCTTTCCAGGGTGGAAGGGTGGGTGGCAGAAGGCTCCTCTGCCATCACACAGACCATGACATGCAGAGCACAAGCCCACCTGCCCACACACACTATCCTAGGCTTCTCTGCACAGAGATCCTGAGAGCCTGCTGACGAGCTGTCCCCATGGATACATCAAGCCTCTGACCCAACAAGTGACCTCCGCTGTGCCGCTGTGAAGGGCAGAAGGGGATCAAAGGCCACTGGGTGATTCAACTCCCTTTGCTCATGAACAGTGTAGCTGTTCTCATGTCTTCTGCCAAGGCCCTCATCATACTCCTGCTGTAGTCCCAGGATCGCAACACTAAAACCAAAGGCAGGAGAAATAGAGATTTCGGGAAAGGACCTCACCCCTGCAGCCTGCTCTCCAGTTTTGTTCTCATACAAACCTTTGAAAGGGAATAAAAATCAAAGTGTGGACAGTGCCTTTCTGTCCTACTTTGAATAGAGAAGAGTCCCATATAAATCTGTACTAGAGATTTGGGGAGCATCCCAAAGTGGCCTCACTCTGTTTGATCAGCTCATTGATCAGGGAGGAAGTGATGGTGCCAAGAGTAACCTCACTGGATTTAAAGGGCAGCACTGCAAAGCAGTCCCTGGTTATCCCCATATCACAGACAGGCTCACTGAGGTTCAGAAAGCTTAGGTCCTTCTCAAGGTTCTGTGTCCTGGCTGGATATTGAGCCCTGGGAGACTGCAAAAGCTTTGAGATATGGTCTCAGTATGTAGTCTAGGCCAGCCTTGAACTTGCTGTGCCACCCAGCAAGGTCTTGAATTTATGATTCTCTTGCCTAAATCCCCCCATTGCTGGGATTATAGGCATGTACCACTAAGCTCATTCCACACAGCTCTTCCTTGCTGTGCTCTACTGCTTCCCAATGAAGCTCAAGGGAAAATGTGCAGATTGCAAATGATGCCTGGCTTGATCAGACACTCAAGTCAGTCGCACAGTAAGGGACTGAAAATACTTAAGATGTCTCCATACACGTACAAAATCCCCAATATGGATGGAACTAGTATGCATTGTAAATATACACTCACAATAAAATGTTTTGAAAAGATCCTTCCATTGGAACAGAAAAACAGTAGGGCCAGTCTGGGAGGAGAAAAGAAGAGAATCCGAGAATTCAAATTATAACAGGAAGATGGCTTGAAGGAGCTCCATGTGCTACTTGGAGCCAAATGGCCCGGCAGATGCAGCTATGCTCAGGGATCTGCGATGTCAGGGACATGCCTTTTTCCAACTTACTTGGAGTTCCCTTTATAGAACTTTATATTTTAAGTCCAAAGAGCGAATAAAGAAAGATCACATTTAATGAACCCTGAGGGAAATCAAATGGTGGCAATTAAAGAGTAAAAATAACCTCTTGTGGTTGCAGACCACAGGAGTTTCCTAATTTGAAAAGACACAGGCACTTAAACGAGGCCTGCTGGGCTGCATTCAGCTCATGCCACGCTCACTGTGATTACAGCTATCAGCAACCATAGTTCTTGTAGTCACAGGATTGTGTAATAAATAGAAGCACAGCCAGGGTAGACCCATCAACCACAAATACAATGTCATAGCATGCAAGTCAGATCCAGGCCTCCTCCATGGTGTGGGACTTTGAGTGGAAAGGGTTAAGCAGAGTTAGAAAAGATCACAGGATCCTTCCTCCAACCTCAGTCCTGTTTCCACAATCCTCTGACTCTGGAAACAAAGTCTCATGTTGGCCAAAAACCAAGGATTCCTAACTCTCCATCCTCATTTTTCATATGCAGCTGAGTCTTGGGTAGACCAGCAGGCTGACTTGGGATCTTCCTCAACCTGGAATAGCTGAATTCACTCAAATACCCACAGGTAGCCATGGAGACTGGATCATCCACTTTAGCAAACCATGCTTTCCTAGACCTTTGACGATTAGGACAGAAATTGGGAAGACTTCCTCAATCTTAAAAGTCAAGCGGAAAAATGTAGAAAAACCTCTGTAATGTCATTAGCTACCCAGGAGACCTACAGAATCCCAAAACAAGAATTGCATAGAGAAGCCCACCTTGGAACACTTCTTGGGAGTTTCCCACCTTGGTCATGATGTGGGGCAGACTCAGGACAAGATCAGCAGCTGGACAGAACGGGGTGGGGATGTTTTCTGTGGGGTCTTTTTTACATGGCAGAAGATTTGGTACACTCTGTCCCTAGGTCACTCTGTCCCTCTGCCTTGGTCTGGGGCCCCCTTATCCCCCAGAATGTGGTGGTTACCAGTAAAAAGTGGCGTAGTCCACTGTGGAGTGGCAGGTCTGGAACTCCCGGGACTTGATCTTCTGGCACTCTCGATGGGCTCGCAGCTTCACCTTCACTGTCCCCTGGCACAGCTCAGGCACTGGTCTCCTCTGAGGTCCACTGCAGAACTCGTTTGACTCCACCTTCCATGACTCAGCAAAGTCGTCCACATCAAACTTGAAGCTCCCATCTCCACCGATTAAGTCATCACGTTTGTGTCCATTGTAGTTGCCACAGAGACCGCACAGCTTGCCCTTGAGATGAGGGGCAGCCATGACCTCCACAAAGCTGTCTCCATCCCAGGATATTTCTAAACCTAGAAGAGAGGAGAGGAAAGGAGCTCAAGCTCTTCTGAGCTTCCAGGAGTCCCCAAATGTGCACATCTTCACACATTACATGCGACCCCATCCTCCAACAAAAGCACAGTGGCTCTATCCAATCTCAGGTGTTTTTTAATCTTACCACTTCAAACTGTAGATTACACAAATCATCACTTGGGGACTTAGAACTTTTAAACTGTACAAAATTTGCCATTATTGTATTTTATGTACTTTTATTTTGACTTCTTTGACAAATATTCTTAGATCATGTTACTCTAGGGTTTACACTTCTGCCCTTCTTTAAAATTCGTCCAAACTGTGCCTTCATTTATCCAATGATTAATGTAAGAGAAAGATGACAGTTCTTTAATGTCCTTTTGTTTTTTTATCCAAAATTTTCCCATGTAATTATTTCTCCAAATGCCAAAAATTTTCCAAATTATCTGCTATAGAAAGATTGTATAAGCAATGAATGTATGAATAAGGCTTCCAAACACATTTGTCTGCAAAGGACAACACTCATATGAATGAACACATTTGCTCTTTCATGATTTTAGAGTCATTCCTGAGAAATGAACCACTGACCCAGCTTTCCTGGGGTTGAGTTGCTGGGAAACCTTCCCTTCCCTTCCCATCCTGTGCCTCTATCCCTGGTATGCTTGCTTGAGGTGGTTATACGCACCAGGCCATGGATGAGTATTCTTGTGCCCATTACTAGGTCAATTCTGATGTGGTTATGAAGGAAACTCCCTTTCCTCCAGGGAGGAAGGAAAGAAGTCCCTTATTGGTTTGCTGAACTGACTTCTAAAGTTCGGGAGGACTGATCTTTAGCTGCACCTGCACATTCCTTGAGACACACTGGCCCGGGTTGTCTGGATACCACCCAGTGTGTGCAAAGCAGTCAGCATGCATGAGCACCAGGGGACACCCACAGCAGATCAGGCACCTGTCCACCCTGGGACTTTTTGTTCTTCATTGTCACTGTCTTCAAAGGAGAAGCCACAAAGCAAGCTGTTTTTAATAGGAGTCTCTGCCTTCTTTGGATTATAAAATCTCACCTTTTGGGGTCCTGAAAAAAATCAACTTGTGTTCTTGCTTGAACATTTGGAAAAAGAAACTTTCTTCTCTTTCTCTCTGTTTTTATTTATTTTTTCTTTTCTTTTCTTTTCTTTTTGTACTGGAGAGCAAACTCAGAATCTCACACTTGCCAGGCAGGTGTTTGTGCCACTAAGCTATATCCCTGGCTTCAGAAAATTTCTTCTCTTAGAAGGCTTTCTTTGTCTTTGTTCCTAAAAGGCCAAGACAAGCAAACATTCAGAAGCTGGGGATGAGGTGGCAGGAAAAACAGAGATGGGGAAGTGGAAGGGAGGAAGAAAAGGATGAGGAGTAGGAGGGAAAGGAGATGGAGGAGGAGGAAGAGAGAAGGCCAGTGTGAGAAAATAATGGATCTGGTCAGAGAATGACTGGCATAAGGCAAGGTCAACAGAGTAATCAGGAAGAAGCAACCAGAGGTGAGACTCCAAGCTGACACTCCCCAACTCTGAACCAGTGTAAGGAAACAGAAGTCTGGCACATGGCCTTGCTGTGAGAAGGCCACATGACTGCCCAAGACAGAGTTACTTCAGGGTGGGCATTAGAAGGGAAACCTAAGGCTTAAAACTGGGGGTTTTCAAGAAAGAAGCAGAAGAAACTGACAAGAAAATCCCTGTACAGCAAGTGGAAGGAACCAAAGCATTCTAAACCTAAGGTAGATGGTGGAAAAGATTTCTTGGTTGGGAGAAGAGCAATTAAATAGATTTGGATGGTAAGAAATGAAGTAGTACCTTGCAAACTGTCTTCTGGGAGCCATTGGATGAAGAGAAGACAATAGTGAGCCGAGTAAAGAGAAAGTGGCCAGAGTACTAGAATGTTCGCATTGGTCTGAGTCCTGCAGGTCTCTGTGAGAGCATGGTGTCAACTCTGACAACCACAATTGGAATGTAAAATGGTTTCCATTTCCTCCTATCCATCATCTAACACATTATTGCGCACATGGTATGGAATCAATAATTGAACGAATTACCCTTGTAATGCTGATGTATCCAAAAAGAATGACTATCACACTGAGACTATTTTAAAAGAGACAAGCAAATTTTAAAATGGTTTTTAATATGCTCTCAAAGGTACAGAAGAAACCTGACCTCACAAACCTGTAGCAGGCAGTTATTCAAGGAGAAATGAGGGGTGGAAATCAATTCCATACAAAGTCTTACTTTTAGATCATAATCCTAAAGATTTTTCACATTGCAAAATTTTCCAAATGACAAATCTCTTTCCTAGACAGCAGGCAAATACTGTTCTTCCGAGAGCCAGAAACAGTTGACAATTTACACCCAAAGGAGCTCCCATGTTTGACTGACAATGACATAATAAATGTGAGCCTTTGGGCCACTGAGTTCATGGGAGTTCAGCTGATCACTGAGTCTACATAAGCTCCGAAGGACGCAGGCCTTCTGTGTTTTCAACAAACTTCTCAAAACCCACGACATCTCATCATAACACATGGTCCACGGAGTGAGAAAATAACCTGCAATTCACTTTCCTTTCTCCTTTGTTATTACACAAAGAGGATTTGCACTGACCTATGAGGGCTTCATTCAGCAGACAGGCGACTTACTCTACTCCCGTGCCTTTGCCTCTTCCTGTATCGTTTAACACATGTGTCTGCGGGAATACTTTTACCTTCTCAAAGAGTAAAATCCATAGGAAGTAGGTTATAGTCATAGAGGCAAAAATCAATAAATCTAGTAAGTTGTAATTGAGAGGCTTTCCCTTCCAAGTATTTTAGATCAGCATCTTATGAGAGGGAAAGAGCCTGAAGTGTAGGAGGCACTGAGCACAGTCCTTTCCGCAGCCTGGCTGAGTTTTCCCATTTTCAGTGTGGGAACCTGACAGCTGGCAGCCGCGGAAGGCTGAGGCCAGGGCAGATGCTCCATCAGGGGATGTGGGCAGCAGCCACGTTACTTCCACTTTAGGACAGGCCTTCCCTGTTCCCTTCCTGCCAGGAGACATTTTGCCAACTTGCTCTTCACCCTGCAGATGTGTGACCCGGCTGCAGACCACTACCCTGTTAGGAAGGCGATGGTGTTTGTGTAGCTGTTCTTGTATTTTGTGGATGTCCTTGTTTGCTTCACGTTGTTTTGGTTTCTGATTGCTGATGGTTTTGCTGCTGCCCACTTGAAGGGGAGAGCAGGTGAGAATCTAAAGGCGCACCTCATGATATGGAACAGCGGGCAGTGTTCCTGATAAGATGTCACATGTAAGTGACAGGAGGGTGTATTCCCTGGGTTCAGTGCAGTGCTCCACCAAAAGTAAAATTAACAGCTTCTCTGCTTATATGTTAATGTTTTAGGTGATCTGATACAAAACTTTCAGCTAGAGCTCATGAGCTTATGAGGTACACAGACGGTAGAAAGGAAGTGTTTTTTAAATAATTGGCTAAGTGTTGAGAGCTGGGGCCAGCATATGGTGGGGTGGTCATGGTGAGTCCCTTTTTTTTTTTTTGGTGAGTAGTGGGAATAGAACTCAGGACCTCGCACTTGCCAGGCAGGTGCTGAGCCAATGAGCTACATTCCCAGCCAGGTCAGTGCTATCCCTAAGCCTTGTCCCTGGCCAATTGTTGGGGAGTAGGCAGCAGGGCCTAACTCCATGGCTACCTGCGTGACTCTGCCAGGTGATTCCACCCTGCAAGCTGAGTCCATCAACCACCAGGCAAGGAGTCTTTCCTCTGCCTCCTGTCTTCTGGCTGTAGACTGCTTTGAAGCCACTGTTTGAAGGACAGTCCCCTTCGATCGGGAGCTTATGAAACAGCACAAAGAATCTTCAGAGGAAAAACACTTGAGGAAATGCTGTAACGTTTTAAAAAGATGATCAATAGGTGATAGAAAGATGACCCTGGGGAGCAGTTCAAACTGAGATGGTCAGGCCAGGGTAGAAACATGGTCATCTGGAAATCGAGTCCTTCCATTCAAAGGATAAGCACAAAACAAATATAGTAACCAGAGTAATGAAGCTCCTCCCAGTAAGAAGAAGGCTGCATGAATTGTGTATGTAGAGGAGAAAATCATTCAGCGGGGTGCAGTGGGTAGCATATGAGTTTTTGGATTGTGGAGAGATGGAAAAATAAATTATAGATCTTGAGTTCTAGGCCTAGAATGGTTAAGTTCACTAATTTAATTATGGTGTTTGTGATCTGTTATTATTTTCTTAGCAGCTTTGCCATTCTGCTCATTTTTAAAACATGGAATCCTTACAAAGAACAGGTTTAATCCACGAGGCTTTGCCAGCTGTGGGTGGAGCAGCATCAAACTTCCTGGGCTATAAGTAATATTGAGGGACCCTGGATGCCTTGGAGGATTGGGCTGCAGCTGTCTAATAATTTCTGTCTTGGTACAATTTATTCTGCAGGTTTGGCTTGCAAATAGATAGCAAGGCCCTTCTCATTAATGCTGGTTAACAGCCAGTCATCTTGGCCTTTTTTACAGGAAGCAAGAATCAGGCAAGGCCTATATTTGCACACCCAAACATGGGAGCCTCAATTCTCCTTAGCACAGGACAGCTGAGAGCAATCAGGTGGCCCAGTGCACAAAGAGGCCACATGAACATGCCCTTTTGCTGCAGACCTTTCTGTTTGTTTCCTCCCTGCCCCCGTACTATCTATTGAGCTCAAGGCTTTGGCATTGAGCTATGTCTCTAGCCTGTGTTTTAATTTTGAGACCCCAAATTACTCAGGCTGGAATCAAACTTGCAAGCTTCCTGCCTCTGCTTTGTAGAGTGCTGAAATTATAGGCAAGTGCCATCATACTCAATCTTCATGTTTCTTCTGAATACCACTGACCCTATGCTGTTTGCTTTTGAGGACCCCTCACATTCTGGTGGCAGATGTTACCAGGGAAACCCAGTCTCTGAGATATGAAATTGTACATGACTAGCTGAGATAAAAGAGACTCTGACAACTCCAAGCTGGACATCAGTGGCCAGGCTGAGGTTATTTGAAGAGCACAGCTATTTCTAGAGTGAGGATGGTAAGGTTCTGAGATTGTGAAGATTGCAAGGGCACTGTCTCCAGCACCCAGTTGCCAGTCTCCACATAGTGTCTCTGGTCCCCTGGTTACATCTCTGAGGCCAGGAGGAACTGATGCTCAGGGTGAACCCCCACCTGCTCGGGTGGTCACCTTCAGCAGGTAGCCCTCCAGGTCCACACGGAAGTGTGGTCCATCGCAGGGCAGTGCCACACGGGAGCCGTTCCAGCGCACGGCCAGGTGTTGCTCCAGGCTGACGATGCTGGAGCCCAGGACCAACTGCACTGACTTGGTCCAGGAGAAGGAACTCGTTCGCCGGGCGTCGTTCTTCACCAGCACCTGGAAGGGTGAGGCAGGGGAGGCGCAGTCTCTGGTCAACACGTACTGACACGTGCCCTGAAAGTTAAAGGTCCGGCCGTCAAAAGTGTTGTAGTGAGGGTCTCCGAACACCGTGCAGACGCCGGGCTCTGCGGATGGGCGAGAGAGAAGAGCAGGGTCACAACCAAGGGAGGATGAGGACAGGCAGCAGGGTCCCTGCAGGCCATGGGAGGGGACGACGGTGAGGCAGGGCCCAAACAGTAAATAACTTGGGAGGAAAGAAAAAGATGGCGAGTTTTAAAAAGTTTTCCTCATATACTACTTCTGGTGAATCTGTTTTTGAAAGATATTTATGACATCCCTGAGCTTTTAAGACATTTCTGTTTTGAAGCCTTGACAAGCTTCTGTGGATGAAGAAATTGAACTCAGACACTTAAGAACCAGGCTTGCTCTGTGAGCTACCTAAATATGGGCAAATTAAGCACATAAACAAATGACAGCCACCTAGATGACACTACAACAAAATCTTTGCATTAAAAGTTCCCTTTAAAAAAATTTTTTTTTAAGACAGACTGTTGTTAAATTGCTAAGTTGCCTAGGCTGGCCAGAGCTTGTGACCCTCTTCCCTCAAGCTTCCAACTAACTAAAAAAAAGTTAGCAGCACTGAATGTTATCCATGATTCTAAAGAAAATTATGATACTTTCTAAGGATAAATATACAAAATTGCCAAACTCATTTATAATTAGTAGTGTCAGGAAACAAGTTACTGATAAAGTTAATAACTACAGATCATTTTTATGTATTTTCTAGATATACAAGTTTCCTATATTTTGATCTAAGTCAGAAAAAATACTGATAAAGTTAATAAGTACAGGTCCCTTTTTGAATGTTTTCTAGAAATACAGTTTCTTATATTTTGATCTAAGTGCCAAAATACAAAGCCAGAACATAAAAAAAAAAAAAAAAAACACGAAACTTATCATTTAGTACTTTTGAAGAAACTATCATTCCGGTATACCATTAATTCAAATATGTATGACACCATGGTAATGTTCTGCATTTGGAAGCACCTCACACATTGTAACAAAATATTACATGATTTTTAAAATAAAACTTGCACTTGTTCTTTATTTAAAGATTTTTTTCAAGGACGCATGAATGTAAAGGAAACAAGAAATTTAAGAAGAGAGATTAGTGCAAAGGATGAAAGAACCATAATAAACTGCTCTGGCTTGTATCTAGAATTTCACGCAAAGCTTCATGCACTTGTAGGTGGTGTATTCCAGAGGTGCCTGGACCTAAGGTGTGTTATTCTAGGATTAAGGGTTGTGGTACTAGATGAGTCTGATTGACTTTTTTTTTTAATAGTTTGGGGTGTGCATACTGGGAAGACCTATTTTGGGTGTGGGTGGCTATAGCCCAAAAGGCTATAGCCTGGATGGGATAAAAGGAAAAGGGAGAGTTGCTTCTTCCACTGCTGCTGTTGCTACTTGTTGCTGCCTGCTGGCCACACCATGGACTGTCTCCTCTGTGTTGCTCCTCGGTCATGCTGCCCTGCCTTGGGGACAGCTGACTATGACTGAAACCTCTACAAATTGTGAGCTGAAATAAACCTTCCTCTTTTAACTTGTGGGTATTTGGTATTGTGTCTCAGCATCAGGAAAAGTAACTAAGACATAAACACAGCAATTTCCAGTTGAAGCCAAAATCATAGGGTGAAGAATAACAACCAGAAGAAGCGCAGAGGTCAGGAACAAGAGGCTGGCATCTAACCAATATCGCTGTCTCTATGGAAAGGATTGATCTTGACATAGTAAGGATCAGCCAGGCTCAGAAAGTCTGTGCCAATTTTCCTGATGTGACCAGTAGGATCCAGTGCAAATACTTGCCCTCAATTTCCAGGTGTTTGGAGAGCAATGTCATTTACGTTGTAAAGCATTAAGTTATTTTACTTGCTGATTTCATGGGGCTCAATATAAATCGCATATTTGGGATTTGCTAAATTATTTGTTCTAATTATTTTTCCTTGTCCACATTTCATACTCAAAAGAGGAAGAAATTTTGGCATATAGAAGAATCTCACTGAGCAACATAAAAGGAATACATAAGATTCCAACTTGTGGAAATGCTGGAGGTAGGGGTGGGACACAATATCTGAATTCAGCCTCCACGAAGAAGTTAGCTGAGATGCCCCTGGAAACCCTGAGGGGAGTTCAGAGTTACACAATCATGGGCCATGAAGAACTGAATCATAGCCTGATTCCCACAGTCAAGAGAATTTAGATTCCAGACTTCAGCTACACAGCAAGAAGTCCAGAACCAGAACTGACTAACGTTTCAGGACTTTCAAGCTTCTCACAAATAGACCTCAGTTGGGCGGGCCTACACTATCCCCCGAGCCCAGCCGCGCCTAGCCATCGGTGTGCAGAGGAGGCGCTGGGCGGATCTGGAGTGCCCGCAGAAGCCCCTTCCTTTGTCTGAAGGACTGAATATTTCTGCAAGCAGGGAGGGATCGCAGGTTCCTGAGGCACCTCGGCCTGTGGTGTGTGCCCAGCACACTCTGCCCAAATCTCAGACTGTTCCGGACCCCCCAGGCTTCTGGGTGCAGTGAAGTGGAGCAGTGGGTTAGAGGCCACTACATTCGCCTCCCCATCCCGGCTACACTTGGAGGTCTGCTGAGCTCCCGACGGGTGGGCGGGCCTACACTATCCCCCGAGCCCAGCCGCACCTAGCCATTGGTGTGCAGAGGAGGAGCTGGGCGGATCTGGAGTGCCTGCAGAAGCCCCTTCCTTTGTCTGGAGGATTGTGAATATCTCTGCAAACAGGGAGGGATCACAGGCTCCTGAGGCACTGCGGCCTGTGGTGAGTACCCTAACCCGGCTGCAATTGAAAAGCTGTGGAGCTTCCAAGGGGCAGGTGGGCGCACAGTGTCCCTGAGGCCCAGCTTGTCTGGAACTGCGGAGTTCTGAACAAGCAGAGGAGGGCCATTGGTTCTGCAGGCCCAATGGCTTGGGGTAGCGTGGTGCCAGAGTCTCAGTAGCTGCAAACATAGAAGGGGATTTTCAACAGATCCTGAGGAAGCTTTCAAATAACACTTGAAACACAGAAATATAGGAAAATGACAAAACGAAAGACCAAATTACAACCTCAAACCTCCAGCCCATCTCAGGAAACCCTAGGAGGAATGTATTTAGAAGAAAATATATCCCATCCACCTCATATATCGGACACAATAGCTACTGAAGTTGACAAGCAACTCCAGGAAGCTTTAAAGAAATTCAAACTCGAAATAATTTCCCAGATAAAAGAAGAAATGATAAAAGAAATGAAAGAGATTCTAAATATATCTAAAGAAAACACAGATAAAAAATTGGAGGAACTAAACAAAAAGATAGAATCCCTAGACGAGCAATATAAGAAACAAACAGAATACATAATGCACATGCACAGAGATATACAGGAAATAAAAAACTCCACTGAAAGTTGTAAAAACCGCCTTAATGAAAGTGAAGATAGAATTTCAGACCTTGAAGACAGGATTGCAGCTAGTGAACAGTAAAGGAATGATCTTTTGAAAATAACAAGGAATCAGGAAACAACAATTCAACAACTGCAAGACGATGCAAAGAAGAATAGCATAAGAATGATAGGGATTAATGAAAAAGAAGGAGACAACATAAAGGATGTCAGGAGGATATTTAGAGAAGTAATAGCTGAAAATTTCCCAAGCATGAGATCAGAAACTGACATCAGGATCAGTGAAGCATATAGAACTCCAAATAGTCATAACCAAAATAAAACTACACCCAGACATATAATAATCACCATCCCAGAAATGCAACACAAGAATAGATTATTAAAAGCTGTCTGAGAGAAAAGACAGATCACTTATAAAGGAAAACCTATCAGAATCACAGCAGACTTCTCTTCACAAACGATAAAGTCAAGAAGAGCATGGAGTGAAGTATTCCAGATCCTAAAGCAAAATGATTTCCAACCTAGACTGATGTATCCTGCAAAACTATCATTCAAAATAGATGGTGAAATACGATACTTCCATGACAAAGAACAGCTGAAGAACTTCATGAACACCAAACCAACCCTGCAAAAAATATTGAAAGACAGTTTAGATACACAAAGGAAAAAACCACTAAGCAAAGCAAATAATTAAACAGAACAGAAAGATAAAGATGCAACAGCAGAGAGATAACATTCCAACAATAAACCAGCATTTAACAGTAATAACCATTAATGTAAATGGTCTCAATGCACCAACCAAAAGAAACAGACTAGCAGAATGGATCAAGAAACAAAATCCAACCATATGCTGTTTACAGGAAACCCATCTAACCCAGAAGGATACTCACAGACTGAAAGTCAAAGGATGGAAAACAATTCTTCATGCAGCAGGAATCCAAAAAAAGGCAGGAGTAGCCATTCTGTTTGCAGACAATGTGAACTTTAAACCAACAATGACCATAAAGGACAAAAAAGGTCACTACATACTCGTAAGGGGAAAACTCCAAGAGGAAGAGATAACTATCTTAAATATATACGCACCAAACTCCAGAGCACCCAGTTATATAAAACAATTATTAACAGAAATGAAAACTCAAATTATCAGTAACACAATTGTAACAGGAGACCTTAATACACCACTGACACCAAGGGACAGATCAACCAGACAGAAAATGAGCAAAGAAATACAGAACTGAATCACACCTGTGAACAAATGGGTTTGATAGACATATACAGAATGTTCCACCCAACAGCATCAGAATACACATTCTTCTCAGCAGTACATGGATCATTTTCTAAAATAGACCATATATTAGCTCACAGAACATATTTAAGCAAATGCAAAAGAGTTGAAATCATCCCTTGCATGTTATCGGATCATAGCGCTCTGAAATTAGAAATTAATGACAAAAGATACTGCAAAAATTCCGCAAACACATGGAAACTAAATAACACACTCTTGAGTAATCAGTGGGTCACAGAAGAAATTAAAGAAGAAATTAAACAATACCTAAAAGAAAATGAAAATGCAGATACAACTTACCGGAATCTGTGGGATGCAATGAAAGCCGTCCTGAGAGGAAAATTTATTGCACTGAGTTCCCACATCAGGAAAACAGAATGAATACA